ACAATTCAGTTTGTAATACCTGTGGCTTTTTATAGCATTTTGATTCGATTTCACCGATATAAAGTAACAATTTCATATGCACGCAATTTTATGAAAATAAGCATATCTGTAGACATATCGCATAAAAATCTTGAAGATTTTCTGAATCTTTAGATTTTATTTCAATTTTAATTTAAAGTCGAATTGGAATAACAGTTATGATTATTCTTGCAAAATAAACATTGTTTCAGTTATTTGTTTTCGCTTCTTAAATAAAAATAATTGTTTAAATATTTTTTTGTTATGGCAAAGATATGATATTTATTCATATTCACATATGTTATAAATCACTCTGAAGCATCTATGATAACAATCTCTAAAACTCCGATAAATAGATTTTGTTGTAGAAGATACAAATAATTTTATTACACTAGAATTTTGATAAAATGTACAATTTTTGATTAAGAAATATTATTTAAAAGTACTGATGGTAGTAAATGAACAAAATTGTATACCACAGCTTGAGTTACAAATCTAATAAATCATTAAGCCCATTAAACACTTTGAAACTTTTATTGGAAATATATATTTTTTTATTATTATATTTTTAACAGCAATCAGAACCTTACGTCCTATGAGCTCTTGGGCTGAAACTTCTCCTTACTTCGTATTTTTTAGATGATAAACTAATAGTTAATCCATCCATATTTGATGATTTTTGTTATTAGAATTAATCTAATAGGGCTGACTTTTTATTGGTGCAGCAATGCCGGGCAAGGGCTATTTTCACTTGGAATTGCTATCTATATTTTCAAGTAAAAATCGTTGTCACTGCTGCCTGATATCAGGCTGCTCGAAGTTGGTATCGAACCCGAGACGTCTTAACCGCTCAGGTCCCGTCGCTCTTAACCGCTTACCTACGGGCGAGGCCATTGGAATATTTAAACAAATTCTTTACCAAGTTAAACAAATAAATATTATCTTATTATGTCTAATTAATATTTATTTAGTAATTTATTATGTGAAGTTCACAAGCAAATATTTTTATACAAAGTTCCATGTACTCAAAATTTTATAAAATTACTAACTAGTTCGAGTGACAAATCTAACAAATAAATAAAATATTTTATATTATAAATTATATTAAATTATATTAAATGTTAATAAAGTATTTATTAACATTTTTTTCGATATAACATCACATTAAATTAATATCGTAAATGATTTAATTTTTTAGGGCTCATTCATAAATTTTCATGTAAAAATAGGTTTGAGAAAACAAACCTAGACACATGAGTAGATTCAAGAAAGTGCACATAAGATTTTTTTGAAAATGAGTATTTCAAAGATTTTCCTACGCATTTACGTTTACACATCTTACAGCTTTGAAATTTTCGATTCACAAATATCATATTTATGAAAAAAATTTGAGGACCTAAATTTAAATAATTTTAATATACAAGTTTGTATCTGTATCTGTATCTGTATTTTTTGACCGGTAATATATGGGAGAATCGAAAAGTACATAAATTTGCACCTGTAAAACGAAATTTAAGTTATTTTAGAAAATAATTCTGGGGCCATTAGGAATAATATTTGGGCTCATCCCATAAATAAGATTTGAGCAAATACCTATTGGTGTAAACAGCTCAGCTTGGATTTATACTTGGATTATTTGGCAATGACATAGAATTTAAAATGTTGAGTTAAAATTAAATAGAATTTGAATTGTTGATTTGATATTGCATAAAAATAGAAGTAGGAATTATAATTTAAAATAGTTAATTTGAAGATAAATAGAAATAAAATTGTTGAGTGGAATTTGAATAGATTAGAATTGAAAAAGATCAGATTTAGAAGAAAAGTAAAATTAAGAAATTAGTTGTAAAGCGCAAAGAAAAAATTGATAGAATAGGATATACGTAGTGATTTCAATTAATTAAGTGTATTTCCAAGAACAAATAGAAGACAATTAGAATAAAAATATAATTTTTCTAGAATAATCCTCTAACAGCAAATATTAAGCATAATGGCATTAAATCTTGATAATCCGTGTACAAAATAAAAATTCCAAAAAGGAAAATTTTAAACAAATACAGAAAATACATTAAATTAAATTAGTTGCCTCCTGTGAGGATTGAACTCACGACCCCTGGTTTACAAGACCAGTGCTCTGCCACTGAGCTAAAGAGGCCCACGCAAACGCGCGCTCAATGCACATCACTACGGGCTCCGTACACATATACCTATATGTGTTCATATGTAGAATTCGATACTATTAATAGATCGCTATCAAACCACTACATTAATATCGCTTCAAATTGTTTACTAAATGCTTAATTTATTGGTTGATGCGAATATGACAGAAACGATAGATAGTTTAATTGTTTGTTATTCACTGTATTATTGTTCCAATTAAATTGTACAAAAGACGAAAGCAGCAGATGTAACAATTCAATATCGCCAATTGGAGTTTTAACTTCTAACGTTCCCATAAATAAACAACCACTTTCCAAAATTTCAAACTTAAACTATTATACACGTGGGGCTTAAGAGCGAGAGGGTTTTGACAAAATATCACGAAATATCACTTGAGAAACGGAGTTTTTTTAACTTCCGTAGGGTAAGTTATTGTAATGGGCCAAAAATCGGAATTGAAAATTTTACATTTCTCGACGTTTTGAAGGTTTCTGAACATTTTGGCATACTTCAGAAAAAATGGATGTGTGTGTGTGGTGTGTGTGTATTTGTGTGTGTGTGTGTGTATGGTATGTATGGATACAAATTTTCGCCCACGTTTTCGGGCGCACGGATCAACCGATTTAAATGATTCAAAAAACTTTCGATTCCTATTGATAGGGAAAAGAGCTGATTAGTTTTGGCAAAGACAGGTCCAACCGTTTCGGAGATACGGAGCAAAGAGTGCAGAAAATAGAAATCGAATTTTTGAGAGGACGGAGTATCCGATTTGAATGATCTAAAAACACATTCAATTAGTAATGATTGGGAGAAGTGTTTGTTAGTTTTTTGGCAAAGGCAGGCCCAGCCATTTTGAAGATACGGAGCTAAATATGTAAAAAGCAGTTTTTGAGAGAACTAAGCGTCCGATTTAAATGATTCAAAGAACTTTCTGCTTGTCTTAACAAAATAATTGATTTGGGAAAAAAATTTTTTTCATTTTTTTTTTTTTTTTTTTTTTTTGTTTTTTTTTTATAGATTTTGTGTATATCGAAAATATTTCAGATTTTATTTTTAATTCTGACTATAGTTCTAATATACTTTACAAATAATTTTAACTCTGCAATTCAGTTTATAAATTCTTATAAATATTAGACAATGTTACAATATTTATAATAATCTATTTGAAAACATTCAGTATTTCTCGAACATTTCGTTACGGTACGGGAAGTTCCAGCAATTTGCCTTAAGGCACGATGCCATATTGCCTCAAGACAGAATTCCACTTACCGCTAGTTTTTTTTTTGTTTATTTATCATAGCAATCTATACAATGTACATTAGGCTAAAATTTTGACAATTATGGAAAATGGCGTGAGAAGGATAACTACCACAATGATAGCTCCTTCTAATTACAATGTCTTAATTTTAATTATAAAATATTCGAGAAACGGAGGTGGTCTAGTAAGATATCATGTGTAATTATTATTTACATGAGTAAAAAAATATAAAGTTTTTCAACAATTTTACTATTTTTTTTTCGGGAAAATATACGCGATGTTCAATGGGGGAAAGAGGGTAATATTAATCATCAAGAGGACAGAAAGAGTACAAAATTCCTTAAAAATCGATCACGTGATTAATGGGCGCCTCCTTCGAAGATCAAACATAGTAAATAAAACCTAATAATTAAGAAATTTGTTACGCTTATTGGATAACTATATGCTGTCTTTGATTTAAATGTCGTAAAAGTTATGTCTGAATTGTCTTTTTACATTTAAAAATATATATTTTTTTATTTCAAATAATATTTTTTTTTTTAATTGGATGTTTCAATGTTCTATAAAAAAGAATATATCAGTTTCAAATTAAAAATTTAATATTGACAAATAATTACCATCGATATAAAATAATAAAATTGATGAAAAGTTTAATTATATTTACGGTAAATGTTTAAATTATTAAAAAAAAGTCAACGATACGTGGTGTTCCCAAGCGGTCTCCCATCTAAGTACTACCCACGCCCGATGTTGCTTGACTTCGGTGATCGGACGAGAACCGGTGTATTCAACATGGTATGATCGTTGACGACTAAACATGATCTTGTCTTGAATATAAGGTATCACGAACACCATTTTATTGATGGAACAATTACAAAAATTATATTTTAATTAACAGTTTAATAATTTATGCAGTTAAATGTTTATTACTAATACTATTCTTTGATTCAATAAAAATATAACGAACCACACATTGAAGCGAAGCATTTATTCAAAAATGAATGGCACTAAACAAATATTTTTATTAAATATTAAATGCATTTTTACAATTCATTATTACTTTAGAAAGTTTTGATTCATGTCATTATGGTGTACGTCCATAATTGGTGAAGACTTTCTTAGACAAACCATATTATATCAAATAATTTACTCAAATATTACGTCACCACATTTTATCAAATTTCTACTTGGGGTCTATGAATCAAGTGAGGCTTAAAATGGGGGGACGTGTTTACAAAAAAAAAATTCGATATATCACAAGAGAGAGAGAGGGGGGTTCAAGAAAATATCACGTGTAAATATTTCATACCTAAATTTACATGTTATAATTGACAACAAAATTCTAAAATTTGTCATTAAATTTATGATTTCTTTACCACGTTTCACCAAGTATCACCAAGGGTAAAGAAAAATTCAAAAATCCTTAAAAATCGATCCCACGATTAATGAAGGCCCCCTTAATAATAGTAAAACATCTTCAGCAAAGATTCAGAAGTAGTCTTTAAAATTGTATATTCAATATCTATTTGCGAGTAATTAACAATTTCCTTTATTTATTTACCAGGTCAAACACTTGAATCAAAGTATGATAAATTCTGGCCACATACCTCATCCTGGTATTGGTCCATCCCGCGAAGATGAGGAAATTATTCGACATGCGTATTACCAGTGGGTGCCTTTCGTGCTGTTTCTGCAAGCCCTGATGTTCTATTTACCTCATTACGTCTGGAAACAAGCAGAAGGTAATATTAATTTTTCAAATATTAACCTAGATAAGAATAAAGAAAAACACTTATATCACAATCTGTTCATACCGATATGTCACTATCACTAATTTTGCTTGCACTTTCAATGCAAGAACTAATGTTTGCAGTAAGGTAATAACCGATACTGTTTGTTGTGGAAACATGACCAGTAATAAAAATCCTGATATTTATTATGTTAACGATACATTTATAATTTTAAAAATATCTCCAAATGGATTAATCTCCAAAACGAACGCTCGATTTTTACTGATCGAGAAAAATATTATAAAGTGTTTGACAGCTATCAAAATATATAAGTTTTAAAAACAAGCCTAAAGAGGCCTCTTACATTAATTGCCATCGATTACAATATCAAGTACTACTTAAAATCGCACTTCTGTTATATTAATTTGTTATCTAACACTTATCACATAAACGATATTCTTCAACAAATCACTTAATACTATAAAAATATTACTAAAATAAATTTCCTGAAAATAAATAACTACTTACTGACGATTAATAAATGTAATGTTATTATAGTCATATTTAAAAATAGAACTCTTCATGTAGTGAAATCTGAATTATTTTTACTAAATAAGCTAGTGATATATTACTGTAGTTTGATTCGTATTTAAAAAAATATTATTAATATATCACTGTGTTACGTAACTTAAGATAAAATCACACAAAAACCAGGTCTCACTGTAATCTATTTAGTTTATTAATCAAAGAAATAATTATAATAAAATTAAATAAATGTTATTTGAATGTTATATAATCACAACTACAGTCAAACCTTCGATTTTTCAATAATGATTATTTTAAAAGAGACTAACGTTCAGTGTTAGTCGTATACAACTATAATATAACCTGACACGTTTATACAAACATTGTAAAACATAAAATAATCGATAATATAACTTATATTTAAACCTTTTACACCAATATCTACTTACTAAAGAGTCAATTATAGGTTGCAGAAGTACCAGGTTATCATAGGGCTGTCTCAATTTCGGCTGCTCGTGGTATGTTGTATGAAAATCGCGTTCACTGATGGTTGACTGTATTACTTTAACTCGACAAAAAAAAGCAATCAACACTTTTCACTAGTTACGAATGAAAGAGTCAAAAACAAGCATCCCGCTAACGTAAAACTGTCCTGATTTTTTAGCTCAACATGCAACGACGACGACCCAATTGCTTTGGCGCTCGGGTCGTCGTCGAAAATACGATCCTTACTAAATGCAGGCCCTGAATGAATTAAGTAGTTCGATCAATGCCTTAATTCCAACAAACATAGTAATAATAATAATAAATAAATATATTTCAGTGAATATAAATGTGTACATAATATTTCTTATTTCGGATTTTTACCCGTAGGTATATCATCCCTCATATCTGTTCTATCAATACAATAATACGTATTTCAGATATATAAGTTGTTACAAAATTTTGTGACAAAAGAAGAGGCAACAAAAATTATCCAACAAACATAGATCAACAATGCTACTTTATAAATATAGGAACTTGTAAACAATTTGAAGTTATATCAAAATATCGATATTGTAGATACAATTGCCCTCTGTTAGTGTATTTGACATTAATTCCTAATATAATAATATAGTTTCTTGTGGGAAATAACAAGGGCACGCAAATGATCGGTTGCATTTGAAAAATGACATAGTCGTGCAAGACATTATGCCATGATATTTTAAAATATTTAAAACAATTGTTATTGTTAATATAATTGTTAATGTTAAAACAAATGAAAAATATCAATATAATTTATTGGAAATGTTATTTTTGTTACCGTTTTTCAAATGTATACCGAAATATCTTAAGAAAAATTTTTAATAGTTGTAATCACATGAATCACATTATTCATGAGGAATCTTACTAATAAAAAATGTGAGCCAGAAATAGTACATAAGATTTAAGCATTTTTAATTAAATATCATATATTTTGGAAGTTTTTAAAGTGATGCAAGCACAAATTAAAAAAATCGGAGGCATCATTTACAAAAACAGAAAAAAATATATGATGCCTCCTGTGAGGATTGAACTCACGACCCCTGGTTTACAAGACCAGTGCTCTGCCACTGAGCTAAAGAGGCCTATGTCTAACAGCTGCTTATAACGCTTCCGCTACTCCCAAATTTTTTTCTTATTTTAGATAACGCAACTCACTACAGTACGCGCTTATCTACGTGACCGCTATTTGAAACCGCTGATAACAAACCATTGTCCATATGATTTGAATTCAACGTAGACATGATGAAATTTATCATTATCAAAGTATTAAATTATTTTATTCGGTTTTAGTTTGATGACCCACGCATATACCACTTCCACTACAAGTATATTAGTCACTCTGAATACCAACAAACCTGAATGAGTTGCATAGTAGAATACAACTTTAGTATTTTTAAACTGAAGATTTTAACAAAAAAACGCAATTAATTGCATTTAATTAATTGAAAATTGGATTCCTCCTAGACAGGACTTAAGTTGATAAATCCTCGTCATACCACTAGTAACAATCAATATTTTAAAAAATATAATCAAAAGATAATTATTCACATTTTTTGTTTTCTTTCCATCTGCATTTTTTTAATATATAACAGATCCAAAAATTATCTTGAATATTACTCTGCAGTGAAGACCCCCAGGGTCCGTGACAAAAATTCAGAGGGTCCGTAAGCAAAAAAAATTTGGGGGTCCACAAAATGAAAATAGGAGTTCACGGTAGTGGATCACAATACTTTTATAACTATTTATTAAAGATATAATAAAAATTCATATATGATATTTATTAATAGAATTATAGAATTATTTATAGAAATATGTAAGTTGTTGCATTAATAAGCATTCGATTTGTGGAATATGGTTGAACTTGTAAAGACCCTATTTGCTGACTATTGAAAGGCTTGGTAAAAAATTCTTTGCGCTTTTTGAGAATTCATATTATTTCTGATTACTAAAGATAAAAGACGACTTAATAGTTGTAAAAATTGTTGCTAAAAGTTGATAATTAAACATTACTTTTTCTTACTTTTTTTCCTTGTTATTATTTTAAATTCAATTATTAATGTTTAAATTAAAATGTACTTTTAATTTAAATATTTCGTGCCAATCCAAGAAATCCATGACACAAAAAAGTTTGAGAACCTATACACTCTTTACACTTCAATGACTATTTACTGTCATTTTCAATTTTCTGTCGTTTTTATATACTTTTAAATGAAAAATGCATGCAAACTTGTTAATATCATGCAAATGAATTAATATGGGTTCAAAATTATTTGTTTCTATTGATTTTAAAGATTTCTGCAAAATAAATGAAGCTGGAAATCCAGGAGGTATGCTTGGAATCATAGTCATTATTTTCAGCAATTCACAAATATGTTTTACTGAAACGACGTATTATTATTGTAACATTTAGTTATCCATATTCTCGGCGATGGAAATTTTCTTACAGATTTTGTTATAAAGTTGAAAAAATAAATACTCTTTAACTTTACGATGCGACCCTGGTTAGATGTATTGAATAACGGGATTTTGTGTTGAAATACAAAACGACGAGACATGATTATTTAAAGCAAGAAATTTTACACTGTTCGGCAAGCGCGTGGCAACAAGTTGCTACATTGTATTAAGTATAATTAATCATATATCATCAATGCATTGTTTCTATGTCAGGATGCAATCTTAATTTCTTTCATATAATCTTTCAATGCACCTACTCATTATTAATGATCTGCGATGTTAGTTGTCACCTTTCACTTCGCCTTGTAAGCAGCTACTGCGTATACTAATATTGGTAATAAATTTTTGCACTTACGTATATCACGTAATTATACGTAATATTACGTATATCGTATATCAACGGTAATTGAACAAACATAATAAAATTTCTACTAACTCCATATTAATAATAAATTGTTAATAATAAATTTGCTAACATTATTATTTAAGCTGTAAATTGTGTAAAATTTCTTAATGGCTAATGAACTTATTCTCTAAGCTAATCGCTTATTTTAAATCACAAATGATCATTCAAGCTATAAATTTACTGACATGATACAATTCTATGAAAGCAATAAATATTTAAATTTGGCGAGGTGAGTGGTACACTTACTTGGTACATAATATAGTTTTTTTTTCCGAAATATTTCTACGATTGGCTTAAAATTATAATGTTATCAAATGTTACAAATTTACTATTTAAATATTAGTTCAATTGAAGCGAGATATTTCTACCTGGTACGAATTTATATTAACAGATGTTGTCCTATTTAACACATTTTCTTCTTGATAAAGAATAATTTGAACTAATAATTTACTTTACATTACTAAAATCTTAGTTACATATAATATTACATCAAAAGAGCGCATACCATCCAAAACACTTTAATAAAAGGCCTGCTAAAACAAGTTCCTATGAGAAGATTAAAAGAAGTTAGCCGCAAGATTTAATAAATTAACAATCAATATATTTATGTAAGGATATTCCCCACTGGGGGAATTCTTAAAAGCTCTGCACGCGTCAGCAAATAACCTAATTAAACCCAAGTTCAGATTGGTTATAGGAAATAAAAAAAAAATTTAATATTAACATCTCTAACTGAACATATTTATGTTTCTTATGTAACTATTATAATAATTAAACAAAATTATTTTGATACTCTTTGTGTGGTTGGAAAATATTTATAAATCTAATTAAAAATGAAGATAAGACTTCGTCTGGATATCAAGTAACATATGTCGTCTTATTCGGAGCCGTCTGTTCGACCATTCGATACCAAAGGTGTATAATTACAGGTGCGTCCATGATCGAAACTGATCTTTGAAACTTATCATTTGATACACCAAATACGACAGATATCGTACAAGTGTTCTCAGATTGCTTCATCATTGCACCTATATAAATTGTGCAAACAAACATATTGTGCAATATTCACTTTAGATGTATAGTTTTATGATGTACAATAATGCGTACCTACCTCTACCACACGAAAATAATTATTCCAACGAGTTTTTTAGAAACTTAATATAATGAATAATCAGTCAAAAAATAGCTTTGAGTTAAACTCCAGTTGGGAGTTATGTTGATTGCCATACTAGTCGAGTACTGTTCTTTTTGGTAACAAAATTTCAATTGGGCGGAATCGAACCCAAAATTCTGATTGAAATTCCATAGCTCCAAACATAATCCACTAGAGAGCCAAAAATAAAACTTACATGTTTTTATATTTTTTTCTATATATTATAAATGCTTGGTGCGATATGCATTTCATGGTGGCCGTTGCATAAGAAGCGCATCATCATTTAATTCACTCAAATGACAGATGTCTTTGTTGAAGGCTTTTTGATAAATAGCCATGCGATTACAAATCGTTTAGCCTCTAACCAATTCAATTAGACGCAAGTGTATTGTTAAGCTATTTAATTCTTGTATCGACAAAAGAGTTCCCAGGTTTCCACACAAATCGCATTTGTCAAGATGATGCAATACGTCAAGGTGTCGTGACGCAACTCGTTTTAAAATTATAATAACTGTATAAAGTACATTTTATCAACTGTCTTACTATATAATGGAATAAATTTAACAATCAAATACATAAATGATAATAATCATATGCACAAAGACGAGTTAGTAATGTAAGACCTCAGTTTTTCCACTTTTGGACTTTTCCAGTTTTAACATTTTGAGCTAGCCATCGAGCAACCACTAATTCCACTTCGACCAGCTTGGTATCCAGCAGTAATGATAGCAGATATTCGCTTGAGACAACAAGATTATAAATCTCAAATATGATATCAAGTAAAAATAGACTTTCAAGGCATTGCTGCAAAAATAATTAAGACAAAATTAACTTCATAAGCATATTAAAAATATATCACAGCTAGAAAGGACAATTATTGTGTTGCCTTCTAATAACCAGCTGTTGAATTAAAGAAATAGTAAACTAGATCAGTAATTTAGAAATGTAGTAACTTGCATCACAAGTTTATATAAAATAAAATATTTTTAATAATAGTTTTCACTAACAAAAATAACTTTATGTAGCCAATTATAAAATCGCAGTAATCTATCCTAAATTAACTTCATAGGCTAAAAATAACCTTCAAGATCAAGTTATTTTCTTAATATCGATAATACAGCATACTTATATCAATTTGACCCTCGGCAGTAACGCTGTGGAAGTAATTACTTTAATTATAAAGGACGTTCTATGAAAATTCTTCGGATGTACTCATTGCAAAACATGTGCGAAGTAATTATACACTACTCGTCTATCAAGTAGCAATTAATTAGCACAAATGAACAATTGTAGTAATCAATAGTTCTGTTTGTACTTGAGAAGAAAATTCCAATCACTTTTATTAGAGCAGCAATATGATGCCATCTGCTGTTCTTCGAGCTATAAAATGGGTTTGAATTGAGAAGCTGAGTATTTTTCAAGTTAATGATAAATGAGAGCATTTAAGTTGCTGGAATTTAGGTTGCTTTAAGTCATCAATGTGAAAAATGATTTTTTTTGTTATTCTAATCGTTGCCTTCAGGTGTAAAGCTTATCAAGTTCCTCTTGTGAGCGCGTAAATCATGTTCCATTAATTCAATTACTCGAATCGATTCAACTTAATCGCTTCTGACCATTCGAATTACGTATTATATAATATAATATTTTATTGTGATGTAATAGTTCAAATTTCTTTGTACAAAGTTCAAATCGGTGTGGTACAAGATGCAAAGCGCAAAGCGCACACGAGCATCCAATCTCGCAACGTCACAAAGTCAGACATCGCTTCATAAATTACTGACAATGAGTACAGTTAACTTAAACGCATTACGAAATAACGTGACCCATTACTACAGATTCTCAAATATATAACATACACACCAAATCCACTTAGAACTATGAATAATTTCAAACATTAAAGGAAATCTTGGCTCATTCAGCACTTATTAGGGGGCGTCCATTAATCGCGTGATCGATTTTTCAGGAAATTTTGGACACCTCCTCCCTCACCAAACATCACGTGTATTTTTAGTTACGAGAAAAAATTGTAAAATTATTGATTTAAAAAAAAAAAATCAGGTAAAAATAATACACATGATATCTTACTATACCCATCCCTCCTCCACGTGATATTTCGTGATTTTTTGTCTCATACACCCCCCCTCCCCCTAAAAACATCACGCGATTAATGGACGCCTCCTTTAGCAAACTTTTTTAACATTAAGCTGAAAACGTGTCGAGAACTCCTCCATCTTTCCTGGTGCGGCTATCAACACTGCCACATTTACTTCAAAGCATATTTGTAATAAAATATGTCTATATAAAATAACGACATATTGACCCTCACATATAAGCCAGTCCTTCTTGTCAGGCATCAAGATATTAGAAAGTATACAATATTTTCTTGCAAACCTAATGACAATCGTTACTTTCATCCTCAAAATTTTTACAACTTTTTATTTTTGAAACCAAATCATCAGTATGACTGAGCTAAATTATCTAAGCATAAAAACTAATTGCTGGTCAATAACTACTAATATTCAACTTAGAGCAAAATAATAAAAAAAGTAACCTATCTACATATATAGCATAATTTGAACATAAAAACTTACTTTTAACTCTTTAACAGCTATGCGGTCTACAGATCATATTAGTGAAAGGCACTAACTGAAAGCAATAATGGGAACTTATTCGAACAGTCATACTTTATCTTTCTCTCTTTAAATCCTATCTCAAAATCAGTATAGTTTATCTGTTATGACGACTCTCACTAACGTACCCTGGCACAACCGTACCAGATCTCCCCTACTTAAGCAAGAAAAATATATTTTTCTATAATAAATTTTTATTTGATATATTTCCTCTTTTCCAGGAGGAAGAATGAAAGCTTTTGTAAATGCTTTACAAGTTGTCGCCTTATCTGAATATGCCGAGACGATGTTCAACTCGGAAACAGATCTATTCCATCCAAAAACAAAACCAAAGGTGTTATGATTTCAGCAAGAAAATTTTTTTAGCACGAGTTCATCTGATGAGACCTTGGAGTGTTTGGCTAGTATGTTGCGAACTTGCAAATGCAGTTAATGTGGTTCTGCAATTTTTGGTAACTGATGTTTTCCTTAGCGGAACTTTTAGAAATTTGGGATCAAGAGTGGCATCTCAATCGATGGATGAAATGGACTATCTGGATATTGCTTTTCCGAAGGTAACAAAATTGAGTCATGAGTACTGTGTCATATAAAATTTCGCAAGTTAAATGTAATATCGTGTCATCATATCTGCAAAAAGATCATAAAAAAGTAATCAAACTTATTAACAATATACCATGTATGCAGTTATTGTTTTGTCGCCCTTCATCACACCGCCAGCATTTGAACAATATATTTATGCAGTCTTCATCAACTTCATAATAATTTCAAACCTTAATTTTCATCCCGGATTTAATCATTTCAAACCTAGAAGAAAGAAGTTAAAATGAATAAGCACTAACTATTTTAAAACATGCTAAATTGATAGAGAGGTGCTATAACGTAAAGATGTAATAATACATTTAGGTTATACATAAAAGCTTATTTATAAATTAATAAGTAAATATTAATTATAGGTCACAAAGTGCGACTTCTACAAATTTGGTCCATCCGGTAGCATACAACGGCACGATGCTCTCTGTGTGATGGCTCTTAACATCATTAATGAAAAAATATTCACATTCTTATGGTACTGGTAAGTAACACTTAACAAATAACTTAATAAGTATATATAAGAATATATATTTTCACTAATGATGCATGGCATTCTAGTGAATTTATTTCTTATGCCTAAAATAAATAGATGTAAAAGTTCTGACGATCATCATTAAGTGTAGCATCCATATGTATTAGAAGCTTCTACA